GAGACAGGGTTTCTCTGTAGCTTTGAAGCCTGTTGTGAAACTCGCTCTGTAGACCAGGCTGGCCTTGAACTCACAGAGATCTGTCTACCTCTGCCTCCCGAGTGCTGGGATTAAAGGAGTGCACCACTACAGCCCGGCTAACATGACACTATTTTAAACTTGGAACAAACATTCTTGTCTTCGTAATAAAGACAACAAACTAAGTCTACATGGTCTATGCCATACAGAGGGTGCTGAGGACTGAGATGTGGTCACAGCCCTTAAAAGGTTACAATGGAGGTTAAAGGCCAAACTTGTAAAAAGCCAATGGTGGCACAAGGCAGCACGGTATAAAACAGAGCAGTGCTGGCTAGCGGAGGGCCGTGGAGAAGAGAAGCTATTCGCGCTGGGGACTGGAGAAGACAGTCCTGTGTGCAGACACACAGCCCCGCTTGCTCGATCCCCAAGTCTTCCCTCTTCTCAGAGCTGCCAGCTAAAGGCCATTCCCATGGCCCTGCAGGGGACTTCTTTGGTTGGCTTTTACCAACTCGACCATAATAACGTCACCTCTCTGGTGTTATGTTCACTTTCATGGACAATCTCTCCATGACAACACGCATGGCTACGTCAGAGCCTACAACTGCCAACTAAAGGCTAAATAATTTTTGTTTGTTTTTCGAGACAGGGTTTCTCTGCATGTAGCCTTGGCTGTGCTTGAACTCACAGCCTCCCAAGTGCTGGGATTAAAGGTGTGTACCACCACTGCCTGACTAAATAGTATTTTTATTTGAGCCACTGAGCTGGGAATGGTGATGAATGCCTGCAATCCCAGCACCCAGGAGGTGGAGGCAGGTGGATTGCTGTGTTTGAGACCAGCCTAGGCTCAGTGTGAAACTTTATCTCGAAGGGAAATAAATAAAAAAAAGCAGCTGGCATTTGGCTTCACCACACCACAGGTCAGACCTGTTTTCACACCACACCACAGGTCAGACCTGTTTTCACACCATACCACAGGTCAGACCTGGCTTCACCACACCACAGGTCAGTCCTGTCTTTACACCACACCACAGGTCAGTCCTGTCTTTACACACCATAGGTCAGTCCTGTCTTTACACCACACCACAGGTCAGTCCTGTCTTCACACCACACCACAGGTCAATCCTGGCTTTACCACACCACAGGTTGGTCCTGGTCAGAGTGTAGTTGCTCCTGGCTTTTGAATGAGATCAGATTTTTTAATTTTTGGCAGTAAGAGCCACCCAATTTTATTCACTCTTAAGACCTGGGTCCTCCAGGGACTCAGCATGTGACCTGTGTACCGTACATGCACTGCTCACTTAGCAAAACTCTGCTATGTCCCTCTCAACAGAGAATCAAGTTCTGACTTCTCCCATCAACCAGTGCTTCCTGACAGGCCATCTTCTCCAGCTCCCTAAACACTACTTTCTTTGTTTTTTGCTTTTGAGGTGGGGCTGCATGTAGTCCAGGATAGCCTCAAATTCACTTTGTAGCCAAGGCTGGTCTTTCCCGGGACTGGAGTTATGAATGGTTTTGAATTACTACATGGGTGCTGGGAATTGAACCTAGGTCCTCCGTAAGAGCAGTTAACTGCTCTTAACTGCTAAGCCATGCTTCCAGTCCAAAGAAAGTAAATCTTTTAAAATTTTTTTTGTTGCCGGGCGTTGGTGGCGCACGCCTTTAATCCCAGCACTCGGGAGGCAGAGGCAGGCAGATCTTTGTGAGTTTGAGGCCAGCCTGAGCTACAGAGCGAGCTCCAGGAAAGGCACAAAGCTACAGAGAAACCCTGTCTCAAAAGACCAAAATAAAAAAATTATTTTTAAAAGATTAACATTAGAGAATGGGTACTGAGGCTGAGTATAGATAATAAAAACCCGAAGTATGAAGAAACACTGATTCAGTGTTAGCCAGTGAGAAAAAAGCACAGGGCCAGGGATATGGCACAGTGGAGAGCTTGTCCACAGGCACGACACCCTGGGTCTGAGCTCCAGCACCACCAACAGAAGTATCTTCTGGAGGAAGTTTCCTATGCCAGGTACTTCAACTGAACTCAGTTTTAAGGGGAGGCAGGTTTTACTAAATGCAGAGATTATATAATAAAAGAGGCTGCCATTTCTGAATTTATGGAGAAAACCCAGCTTGGTTGTGTCAACAAAATGCACACCTCCTCCTCCTCCTCATCTTCCACACGTGGAACTGTAAGGTACGGCATGGAACAGCAAGGAATCATTACCATTGCTTCCTCAAGTCTGGGGAGGTCAGGATGGTCGCTGCGATCCTGGCACCATTGAGAGGTGGGTTGGAATACATGGGACGGATCAGGATCTTCAGCTGCGACTCCACCCTTTTGGCTTCATCGGCATCTTTGCAGATCACAGTGAAGGCTCCCACACGCTCACCTGAAAAGACAGTGGATACCGTCCTCTAGTAACAAGCAGTGATAAAATTTGCTACATGGTGTCTATTCTGTCAGAAGAATCACAACAGTAATGTATGTTTGAGACAGAGTATCACTTTGTACCCTGGTTTGGAGACAGGCGATTCTCCTGTCTCAGCCTCCAGAGTGATGGAATTACAGGTATGAGCTACCACATCTGGCCTAATAGTTCCTTATTTTTTTTGGATTTTCGAGACAGGGTTTCTCCATGTAGTTTTGGTGCCTGTCCTGGATCTCGCTCTGTAGACCAGGTTGGCCTTGAACTCACAGAGATCTGCCTGCCTCCGCCTCCCAAGTGCTGGGATTAAGGGTGTGTGCCACTGCTGCCCAGCTAGTTCCTTATTATAAGTTATAATAAATAAATTTATAAAGATTGTAAAACATCAGTAGCGAACTTCTGCCCTCCAGGGTTCTCCCATTGTGCTGTAAGCCTGTATTTAAGACCTCCTCCCTCCTTCAATAAACGACATTGGGGGGGGGATTTATACTGTATCAAGCTGATAATAGAAAAATAAATAATAAATAAAAATGGAAAAAAAAAAAAGAGAAAAAAAAAGATTTTTTTTTGTGTGTGTGACAAGGTTTCTCTGTGTAGCCCTCGCTGTCCTGGAACTGGCTCTATAGACCAGGCTGGCCTCAAACTCAGGGATGTCCTCCTGCCTCTGCCTCCTAAGTACTGGGATTAAAGGTGTGCACCACCATGCCTGACATTATCATTGTTTTTCACTATTTCAGGGGTTGGAGTGGTGCCCGACTGTGCACATGTGGAGGTCAGAGGGCAATCTGTGGGAGTCAGTTCTCTCCTTCAGCCATGTGGGTTGAGCTACAGTCATCAGGCTTGGTGGCAAGCACCTTTACCAACTGAGCCACACTGCTGGTCCAGGATGCCTTTTTTTTTTTTAAAGTATATTTATTTATTATTAATACAGTGTTCTGCCTGCATATGTCCCTGCAATCCACAAAAGGGCATCAGGTCTTATTATAGATGGTTGTGAACCACCATGTGGGTGCTGGGAACTGAACTCTGGAAGAGCATCCAGTGTTCTTAACCACTGAGCCATCTCTCCAGCCCCCCAGGATGTCTTTTTAATGTATTTATCCTCTTGGCTCCTGTATCAGTTACTTTGCATATAGAAAGAATCAGTTGTTCTTTCTTTCTTCTTTTTTTGCTACAGGAATGGCTAAGAAAATCTACAGTACTTTTTCTGTTTTAGGAAGACTACATATAACCAACACACAAATATGCACACACACACACACACACACACACACACACACACACACACACACACACCTCCCCATTCAGGGACTACCTTGTCCCTTAAATTTTCTGTTTTGAGGCATTCTCCCCAGGCTCTCCTCTGGGTATCAAAATACACCTGGGTCCTCTAACTTACCATATAGGCCCATGTTCTTGGCATATGACTGGCAGACGCAAACATTAATGCCCTGCTCGATGAAGTAGCGCACAGCCCAGGCATCCTTATTGCCGTCACCACTGGCAAAGCCTTGGTAGGCCATATCAAAGAATGCAAACAGATTCTTTTTCTGGGAAGGAACAAGACCAGAGTTTGAGACAGGCACCTGCAGATGCCCTGTGATTACATGTGCTGTCATGGACGTCAACACTTTCTCCACACATGGCAGAAGGGAAGATGTCTGAATTCCAGAGTTAATTTATCAACATACTTCAAAGTATTATTATTATTTTTTAAAATACTTTGGTGCTCTGGTTCCTCAACAAACACTGACAAAGAGAACCTTAATGTCCAGTGCAGGAGGCATTTCTAAGGCCTGCGGTAGTCTGGGATGTTATTTTTGGGCAGGACTAGCAGGACTTTCTGATGAAGCACTATCCTACACCCGGGCTCACAGATGACCCTATGAAAGTGCTCTCTGCAGGCTCCTCCTGTGTCTCCCTCCATTGGAAGCTGAGATTTGATAGACCTGCTAAGAATGGGGGCAGAGGATGACAGGGATGTTTTTCTCTCTAGGACTTCTGACTAGTGTCTTCTGTCACAGCCCGCTTTTCTGAAAGAGAAGTCAATGCTGAGCAAAGTAGCAAGAAAAGGAGGAGACATGAAGACGTGCTTAAAAGGATGGGCAAGCAGCCACTGACCAGGACAAACGGAGGTGGCCACCAGCAGGCCTCTTGGACCAGAACGGCTGTTGTGCCAAAGGTAAGTTTTTGACAGTTTTATTACTACATCTGGGCTGAAGGATGAAAATTATTTTCAAACTGTTCACATATCATCTATTACGGAACCACTAATTTTGCAAAGGAGGAACCCCTTCCTGGCAGCTTATCCATGTGTGGGTGTGGGGCAGGCTCAGGGCTAAGCAATGAGTTACTGGCATTTCATCCCGCTCACCTTCACCACCGCCGCGATCTCCTTCCACTGCTCCGGACGCGGGTCCACGCCTGTGGGGTTGTGCGCGCAGGCATGCAGGAGGAGGACGCTCTGCTCTGGGATTTTCTAAGGGGAAACAATGGAGATTTTGCTGTGCAGCTTTGAAGGAAATAGTCGGCATGCTACGGGTCACTGTTAGCTGAGAAGTGACAGAGAACCTGAGACCTGGGAGTCAGGCGGTCCCCTCTAAGTCAGATGATGAGAGCAGCCGGGAGATGCCAGTCTGGAAAGGCACACTTACTGAAATGTCTTCCATGGCTCCTGTGAAGTCAAACCCACAAGTCTTGGGGTCATAGTATCGATAGCCTTGTAGCTGCATGCCGGCATCCCTGAAGATTGGTGTGTGGTTTCCCCAGGATGGTTTGGGCAGAAAGACATCTCGGCTGAACTTAAAAAATCTTTGCTGAAAGATGGGATGAAAAGAGATGAAGAAGGAGGGCAAGATGCCAGGGTTTTCCTGAGAGAAAGTTTTTTCCTACCGACAGTAGCAAGATGGCTTGGGTGGGGCTCCAGGCTCCGACAGTTAATCTGGCTGTGAGGTGAACACCTCTGCAGGCCTCACTGACGGAATTCCCTTTATAGGGACTGTGCTGGCTAGTCCTAACGTCAGCTTGACACGTAAGCTAGAGTTATCTGAAAGGAGGGGACCTAAATGAGAGGAGGCCCCTGTAAAATCCAGCTGTAAGGCATTTTCTTAATTAGTGATTGATGGCTGTGGACCCAACCTATTGTGGGTGGTTCCAGAGACTGAGCAAACCACGGGAAGCAAGCCAGGAAGCAGCACTCCTCCACGGCCTTTGCATCAGCTCCTGCCCTATTCGAGTTCTTGTCCCGACTGCCTTTGAAAATGAACAGCAATATGGAAGTGTAAGCCGAATAAACCCTTTACTCCCCAACCTGCTTTTTAGTCATGGTGTTTCTGATGCGGCAACAGAAACCTTAACTATGACAGGAGCTGAGTAAGTTAAAACACGCTCCCTACTAACTCTAGATGCTGTGCTGGGCATAGTGGCTCATTTTTAATCCCAGAACTCAGGAGGCAGGAGGATCCCTTTGAGCTCGTAGCCAGCCTGGTCTACATAGTGAGTTCCAGGACAGCTAGAGATACATAGTAAGACCCTGTTTCGAAAAAAAACAAAACCAAACCCAAACCCTCCCCGCCCCCCACAACCATATGCTCAATACGCTGACTCATTAGTACTTGATTCCTTATAATTTCTCCACAGCACTTTCTTTTTTTCCACCAGAGAACAGAAAACCTGCCAGTTCTGTGGAAAGAGGAAGGCTGATGTGGGTGAGTAACCACACATAGGCTAGGAGTCCTGTTAACCTTTAACTTAATGTCCTTTCTTGAAGGAGTTCCACTCACCAGGAAGCTGGCTCCGATTCTTAAGGCTCCCGTCCCGGAAATGGTCTGCACAGTGACAAACTGCAGGGAGACAGAGGGTCAGTCACTCTATCCTCTGCACTCTAGAGCTTAATTCTTTCATCTACTGACTTGATTATTTTTACAGAGATACTTATTTACTCCCTATACAGGAATATCTTGTCTGCATGTTTATATGGGCACCATGCTCACGCCTGGTGCCCCAGGAGGTCAGGAGGAGTGGTCAGATCCCCGGCAACTTAGGATCTGGAGTTACACATGCTTGTGAGCTGCCACACGGGGGCTGGGAATCAAACCCGGACTCTCTAGAAGAGCAACAAGTGCTCTAAACCACTGACCATCTCTCCAGCTCCACTTAGTTACCTGCACTGTGTGTGTATGGGGATGGGAACATGCATTGGCGTGGATATACAGGACAGAAGACATCTCTGGAGCTGGTTCTTTCCGCCAGCCGTTATGTGGGTTCTGGAGGCTGAACCCAGTCACCAGGCCTGTGAGGCAAGCACTTGACCTGCAAAGCCATCTTGCTGGCCCCTAGAGGTGAATTCTGGATGGCTCTGTTAGAACAATCCATGTCACATGGAAAATTTGGGGATATAAAAATCCCTCCTCAATATGCCAAAGGAGTGAGTTATGCACATACAAAAAATACAAAGACGAAGTCACCACATTCAAACATCATTTTAGAAATATGTAAAATCCAACAACCCTCTGACCAAGGTTCTTTAAACAATTAGATAGTCACCAAGTCTATTGGGATAGTGTTGGTATAACTGACTTTGTTTTTCTTTTCTGTGGTGCTGGGGTTGAACCCAGGGCTTCTGCACATGTCAGGCCAGCATTCCACCACTGAGCTATTAATTCACACTAGCCTCTATGTTTTTACATCTTAGGCAGAAAAATAAATAAGGGAGTGTATCCATTAAAACACATCTTCCTTTTTCTTATAAAAGAAAGAAGGCCAGTCTGCACGTGTGTCTTTTGGGATCTTCTTCTCTTTGTCTGTGCCCACCTGGGCTGTGACAGGGCAGTAGGGGACAGCCACACCTGTCCCCTTCCCTGCCCCCACAGTCTACTCATGGCTGGTTCCCTGTTGCTTCTTCTGTCCCAGCTGGAAGCTTAACACATGATTATGGGGACTAATTACAGGCCTAAAACTAGGCACAGGGAGGCATTCCTAATTCCTCTTCAATATAAACAGATGAAGCTCACCAGCACCAACAGCAAACTGGGCCAAAGCTATCAGCCAAATTCTGTCAAAGTTTCAAGATAACCGATAGAGTTAAACTTCCTCTCTAGGAAGTAGTTATCAGTGTGGCCACCTCAGGCATTACACACACAGACACTGAGTTACAATCGCTAGGTATGAACATGGAGCCCGCGTGAAGCTCAGGCCCGCCTGGCTTACCCGGCCACTTTTCAGCACTTCACTGTTCTCACCCAGGGCCAGTTCTGCAGAAGCCTTACAGAAGTCCGCCAGCCCCCCAATGGGCAGGTATTCTTTGTCCAAATTTTTTGCAGCAATCTGGGCCTCTGCCTAGAGAAGAGAAAATATGTTTTAGCTTCTTCTCCCTCCTTCCACCTACTGTGATGACAATCAATGTTTTATGAGGTAAATGTCTGAAGCAAATCATCCACATCCCTCTTCCACTCGGAGATGCTTCTGTTTGGGCGGGCTATGAACTTCTAGGCCTTGGTGATCTTTCTGCTCGGCTGGCAGACCTTCTAATTCACTTGAAGTTACTGTTGAAGAAGAAGGATAAGCTGGGCAGTGGTGGCGCACGCCTTTAATCCCAGCACTCAGGAGGCAGAGGCAGGTGGATCTCTGTGAGTTCAAGGCCAGCCTGGGCTACAAAGTGAGTTCCAGGAAAGGTACAAAGCTACACAGAGAAACCCCGTCTCAAAAAACAAAAAACAAAAAAAGAAAAAAAAAGAAGGATAAAGTGAAATATTTGATATTTTGTACATCAAATCTTTGTATATATTTGTATTATTTGTATGATATATATATATATATCTTGAGAAATAAAATTCTACTATTATAGATAAGGTTTCCTTATAGGGACCAGGGTGGTGGTTTGGATGAGAATGCCCTATAGGCATTCATATGCTTGAATACCTGGTCCCAGTTGGTGGAACTGTTTGGAAGGATGAGGAGGTGTGTCACTAGAGGCAGGCTTTGAGGTTTCAGAAGACTCCCGCCATGCCCTGTGTGCCCCCCCCCCCTTCCTACTTGCAGATCAAGGTGTGAGCTCTCAGGTGTTTTCCCACCATGACCCTGCTCTGCTGTCATGGACTGAAACCATAGCTCAATTAAACACTTTCTTTTATGGTTTGCCTTGATCAGGGTGTTTTGTTAACAGTACCAGAAAAGTAGCTAAGACACGCAGGTTGGCTTGGAACCTATTTTGTTTTGAGACAGGGTTTGTCTACGTAGCCCTGGGTGTCCTGGAACTTGCTACATGGAACAGGCTGGCCTTGAACTCAGAGATCTGCTTGCCTTTGACTCCTGAGGGCTGGGATTAAAGACGTGTGCCACTATACCCGGAACAAGTATGTGTGTGTCATCATCCTGGCTGGAAGAGAGGTTTTTACATGGAAAGGTATTATGGTAGTTTGAATGTAATTGGCCTCCATACACTCATAAGGAGTGGCACTATTAGGAGGTGTGGTTTTGTTGGAGTAGGTGTGCCTTTGGAGGAAGTGTGTCACTGTGGGGGTGGGCTTTGAGGTCTCCTATGTCCAAGCTATGCCCAGTGACATGGATAACTTCCTGTTGCCTGGGGATCAAGAGGTAGACCTCTCAGCTCCTTCTCCAGCACCATGTCTGCCGCACATGGTCATGTTTCCTGCCATGATGATAATGGACTAAACCTCTGAAACTGTAAGCCAGCTCCAACTAAATGTTTTCCTTCATAAGAGTTGCTGTTGTCATGGTATCTCTTCACAGAAATAGAAACCCTAACTAAGGTATAGACTTTCCTGGTTACCACTTAACATAACAGGGCTCTCTTGAAATGCATAAGGATAAAACTTACAAGCAACATGTTAGGTATATGTGAGATGACAAAATCAAATTGAATGTATAAAAGGAATGCATTTTGGGATATATGCTAGTCCAAGAACTTTCACTATCTGTGTTGCTGTGGGCAAAATATTCACATTTCCCAAGTCATAGGGTTGTGGTGAAGTGTGAAAGAGATAATGGACAACAGTGTTTGATTGTGGTGCAGCCTGCAACAATAGCTTATCAGTCACTGAATACATTTTTAGGATTTTTCTTGTGATGTTGAGCATCAAACACAGAACCTTTTGCATGTCAGGAAACACTACCACCCACATCTAGTATCTCCAGCCCTGAATAACTTTAAAACCAATAGAAATATTACTAATAAAAATGTAACAAAAGTAGAGAATGAAAGATGTTATCATGTAGTTCAGCAGGAAGGGTGGACAGCACATGCCTCTACACATGGATTTCACCCCAGCAATCAAAATGAGAGGAATGGAAAATAACAACAGCAGCCTCATCCACAGGTGGCTGTTCCTCTTGTTAAGAGACGATGTTAAAAATCTAGCCCTCTTGTATCCTCTTAGGATTAGGTGCCAGGCCCAACTTTTGATCTTGGAGAAGACCATGTGGCTGTGATCCATGCTCACAGCTAAGAAAGGTCACAGCCTAGAAAACCCAGGTGACTGACAAAGCCAGTGCTGGACCAGAACCTGGGGCTCCCGAGTCCTGGTTCAGCACCCCCTTCGTTCCTTTGGGTTCCCTTCAGGTTCCACACCCTATGCAAACAGGACAGGTGCCAAGCTCACCTTCCGGACACTGGGGAGCACGTAAGGCTTCCCATTATCATCTCGGTAGGCACCAACTCCCAGGTTCATCTTTTTGCTGTTGGTATCTCTCTTGAAGGCTTCGGTAACTCCCAGGATGGGATCTGGGGGTCCCATTTCTACATGGGCCCACCAGGAGCTGAAATGAGAAATATTTTACGTCAGCCACATGAGTTAGATTCCTATGGCCAGATATGTCACCAATCTGCCAAAGATCCATTTTGGCACATGTGTTACACAGAGGTTACAGAAACAGGGACCAGTCATCCAATAGCATAAAAGCCTTTAGAGACCAGAGATCAGTATCTTCAACACAGATATGACAAGGTGCAGAAAGGGAGCACCCAGGTTATTTTGGATAGGATAGGGTGTACACACAGGTTTAAAAGAAAAATTTCCTTCAGCTGATTAACAAATAACGAAATCATGAAATTTACAGGTAAATGGGCAGAACTAAGGAAAATATTGCAAGTGGGGTAACCCAGACCCAGAGAGACAAACGTGGCCTATTCTCTCATCTGTGACTCCTAGCTCAGAATCTTTAGATGTAAGTATGTAACCTGGAGTCTCCACATAAACCAGGGAAGACAAAAGGGACCATGTGGGCGAAGGAGAACAAAAACCCAAAAAAGGGGAAGGGAAAAAAGGGCCAAGAAAGGGGAAAAGGGAAAAAAGGGGAATTAAACGGGAAAGGGAAGGAAAAAGGAAAAAGAAAAATAAAAAAGGTTGAAAAATTTACATACACACACACAGACAGACACACAGTATGAATCTATGCCACTTGGGCGACAATGTTCCCAAAGAGCATTAGACTAGCCAACAAAAGTCCCAGTGCCAGGCATGGGGAACCTTCCTTCAGGCTGTTGGTCAAGGGAGTCTAAGAGACTCTCAAAATAATATGGCTATTGCTGTCGTCCTTGATTGCTTCCCAGAAATTGAAGGGAAGGCCCTATTGCTGGAAATACCACATGTCAGGCACATGGCTTGGAGAAATCGGGCTGGGACTGATCTGGAAGCCTCCTCCTGTGGACTAGCTCTCATAGTATCCTAAAATGCTAGGCAAGCTGCCAAGGGAGAGGAGCAGTCCTACAGTGGCCCTACCCAGCTGTAAAACCTACACACCACAACAATGATCACCATGGCAAGGTAGCTCCATGGATGCAATCCTGGCACTGTATCCTGGAGGCAATCAACAGCGGTCCAGTTGGACTGGAGGTCCACTCCACAGGAGGGAATTCGTGCCTGGTACTGTAAGTCCAGCCTACTATCTGTGCCGTGTAAGATCACGGACCCCAGAGGATAACTTACTATTGTCACTTTCCATTTCAGTACTTTTTCCCCCCAAGACAGGGTTTCTCTGTGTAGCTTTGCGCCTTTCCTGGATCTTGCTCTGTAGACCAGGTTGGCCTTGAACTCACAGAGATCCGCCTGGCTCTGCCTCCCGAGTGCTGCGATTAAAGGCGTGCGCCACCACCACCCACCAGTACACTTTTTAACTGGGTTCTAAATATTTACTCTTATACCCACAGCTAAGTGGCTTATGCTTTCTTCATTAGGCTTGAAGTCAGCAAGCTCCAACATCCTTCACTCTGCACCCTCCCGAGAACTAGGGTTACAGGCGTGTGCAGGACGGCCAGCTGGGTCGGTGCTGGGATCAGAATTCCTCTCCTAATAATTGCGAAGCACGTCCTCTTAACCCTGGACCGTCTCTTCAGCCCGACTCCTCCTTATTTTGGAGACAAGGTTTCTTACCAGAGCTGGAGCTCCCCATTTTGGCTCGACTGGCTGGCCAGTGACCCCCAGATTCTACCTGTCTCTGCACACATCCCACGGTCACACACATCTACCACTGTGTCCAGCTTTTACATGGGCGTTGGCAATCTGCACTCAGATCCTCGTGCCTGCCTGGCAAGGACCTCTCCCACGGAACCACTTCCTCAGCCTCTTCAACAGTCATCCACCGATGCCCACTGGTGCCAACCAATACCCACTGGTCACCTGAGCCGGGCAACTCCACTGCTAGGGCAGTGCCCCTCATCTTCCCTTGTTTCATAGTAAATCACAGGATGCAACATTCAGTACCCACTTCTCAGCTTTCTTTTTTTTAAAAAGATTTCTTTATTTATTATGTATACAGCATGTATGACTGCAGGCCAGAAGAGGGTACCAGATCTCATTACAGATGGTTGTGAGTCACCGTGTGGTTGCTGGGAATTGAACTCAGGACCTCTGGAAGAGCAGTCAGTGCTCTTAACCTCTTCATCCCCTTCAGCTTTCTTATATAGCCTCTTTTGATTTTATTTAGTTCACATGTGGCCAATAGGCTAGTGGCCACAATCAATGACTGGGTTGGTTTCAGGTGTTAAGTATTCTACAGAGTTCTACAGAAAGATTGGCAGAAGTTTACTGTTTATTAGGTAAGAGTTGACAATCTCTCTCATGTGCATGCGAGCGTGTACACGTACACGTACACACACACACACACACACACACACAGAGAGAGAGAGAGAGAGAGAGAGAGAGAGAGAGAGAGAGAGAGAGAGAGAGAGAGAATGAACCATCGCACCACCATGTCTGGCTTAGGTAGTTGCTGGGGCTTTTGCGCATGCCTGGCAAGCACCCCTCCAGCTGAGCTGCACGCCTAGCCCCTTGGTTTGTTTAAAACCTTCGGTTCAGGGGCTTCTGTCAATCTGGAGCTTATACTAGGATTTCTGCAGCTTAAAAAAGAGAAAAACAAACCTCACTATGTGTCAATAATGTGGAAAGACTAAGGACCTAACTGACATGTTTTCCACCTCTCGATGGTACTGATGGACTAGATTACAAAATCCTCAAATAAAAGGCTTTTGTTAGACTTCTCAGTACTTAGAGCAATCAATTCGTACATTTCCGGGCAAATGAGAAACCACATCTCTATACTCTGAATGACTACTTTACAATTTGTTTTTCAGCTTGATTCATCCTCAACCAGTGTTAAGTTTAGGAAAAACAAAGGCTGTATTAGATAAATACTGAACACAAGTGAAAGGCATAGCTGTCTTGAATAAAAATGAAATTACTGTTACCTACCAAAGACTTAGTTACATAAACTCAAATTCCTAAAATTTTTCTAAGTTCATTTAAGAAAAACAGTGGGGTGGGGACGTGGGAAGAGGGAGTGGGAAGAGGGAAGGTTGGAGAGAGAGAAATTCAGTGTACCCATGCATGAGATTCTCAAGAAATAAGAAAAACAGTAATGAAAATTAGTAAAAATCAAATTTATATGAAATGGGATGAATTATTATTTGGGAAAACTTTAATTTCAATAGTAGTTATTTATTCCTAATTTCATTAATGTATTTTATCTTTCAATTATTTGCTAGTGAAGGGTTCCACTGCTGAGCCATACCCTCGTCTAGATTTTATTTTTTATATGTTTAGACTTAGAGGAGTCGAAGAGGTCCTATTTCATATGCACCCTGGCCCTGACTGCTAGCACCAGGAGTTACTATGGCATACACAGGTCCGGAGCCCTAGGACAGACACCCGGCCTATTTTTCTAGTTTAGTTTTTGCTTGTTTCTCTTCACTACTTTCTCCAGGACACCACATCACACTTTCTTCTCTATCTCCTCAGGCTTCTCTTGGCTGTGGGCTTGCCTTCCCTTGTCTTTGATGACTTGGATGCTTTTGGTGAGTTCTAGCCAAGTACATGCCATTGGCCCCTGTTGTAGACTACTGCTTTAACTAGGTGAAGGTGTGTTACATTTGTTTATGCTGCATTTGTTTAATTAAGTAAAGATGTGTTACATTTGTTTATGCTGGAGAACAGTGCTTTAACTGTGTAAGGGTGTGTTACTTTTGTTTATGCTGCATTTGTTTAATTAAGTAAAGATGTGTTACACTTGTTTCACCTTGCCTGCCTAAGGCACCTGATTGGCCTAATAAAACACTGAACGGCCAATAGCTGGGCAGAGAAAGGATAGGCGGGGCTGCTAGGCAGAAAGACTAAATAGGAGGAGAAAGCTAGGCTTAAGAGAGAAGGAAGAACAGGAGCGGAGGAGGAGGAGGGAACGAGGGAGACTCCCCGGGGCCAGCCTGCAGACATGAGAAGCAGTGAAAGTAAGATACACGGAAGGAAAGAAAGGTAAAAACCCCCTAAGTTAAAAGAGCTAGCCAGAAAAGAGCTAAGCTAAGGCTGAGCATTCAAAACTAATAATAAGTCTCCGTGTCATGATTTGGGAGCTGGCTGGTGGCCCAAAAGAAGCACGGCACGGGCCCCTATTGAGGTTTTCACACGATCAGGTTTTAAGAACAACAAATATATTTCATTATATGTCATTGAAGACCATTTCTAATAACTTCTACATGCTCAATGTGTTAATGGATTGGTTATGTGGTGGCTACATGGATATTTCTGTGACCAGGCAGACAATGATTTCTAAATATATTTTAAAGTTTATATACTTCTGCCTCTTTTGACATGCTCTAGGGAGAGCAGAGCTGTGGTCATGGTATAGGCATGCTTTCTGCCACCACTTTAACAGGGGAAAAAGGACATGTGTGCTGAATTCTGTCAAGAGCGTTCTTGTTTAAGATGCCTGTGTGGGGACTCACATCCCTGGAAAGAGAAGTTAAAAGATGATTAACAAGTGGTCGAGACCATATTGCGCCACAAGATATACAACTGGTTTTGTTTCACAAGGGAGAAAAAAGTTCAGTCTGTCCTGAACTTCTTACCTTCCAGATTCCTTTTACTCTTAAAACTTTGAGGAATCCAAAGAACTTCTGTGAATTTTTCTCCCTCACCTGAGATTTAGTAACACAAACATCACAAGACAATGGCAGCCTCATGCAGGTGGCAGCCCCGGAGTCAGCTGGTCTTAGCCCTCTCCTCACACGGGGACACAGAGGCCTGGGAGTCTGCAGGGGGCCTGAGACCCTTACCTGGCTGGAATCATAGTGCAGATGCAGCTTCAGCCTTTGGCTGGAAGAGTCAGTCCACCTGGTACTGTGGGCTACGTGCTCTCTTCTGTCCCTCTCACCATGTAGCCCAGGGTGGCCCGGAACTGTGAGACCCACTTCCCCACTATTCCGACTGCTGGGATTACTGTGTCTGGCTATAAACACAGTTCCTGAGCTTGCAGTGGGTGGTGTAGGC